AGTTACTCATCCTGCCACCTCCTTGATGGGGGACCTAGTTGTGGCCCTTCTTGGGCGCAACCAAGTGAGATGCCAGGCCACAAGTGATGCCATCAAAGACTCCAAAGTTGGTGTCACTTGCAGGGGAGGGGCAGGCAGGTCGGTGAGGTCTGGAGATGTCTAAGTGAGCACCAGTGGGGTCCCATTGCAGGCAATTACTGGAAGCAGTGATGTGTGCAGTGGAAGGTTATGGGTGATGTTTCATCATGCAAAATGCAAAACAAATAGATACATAGGTAAACAAGTATATACATATACATGAACTGTAGAATGGAGACTAGCATATCGGGAAGTGAAGAAACCTTGCAGTGTGCCTCTCTACTCCCGAATAAAAGGAGAACTCCCAATGAACTGTTAAACATACTTTGACAATATGATACTAGATTTTCCACCATTGCCAATACTTGCCATGATACACTTAAACAGCAGAATGTTGGACTTGAGACTGTTGCTGAAAGACTATACTGCTGTAATAACATGGGAGAAAATGGTGATGGGGGAGAATGGGGAAGGAGGAAGAGGATGTGGAGGAGGGAATACCTGTAACTACGGAACTGTAGCATAAAAATAATACAGCAAACAAAAATACAGAAAAAAGGTCCGTCAGGGAAACGTACAAAAAGAGAGAGGGGGGGGGTTATGTTTCAAGAAAGCAAGACAGGAAATCCCCTGAGGGAATGTCTGACCTGCTCAGTCTGCTGGCGTTTGGCTGATGCCCTCCTGTGTGTTTAGGACCCTGTCTTCCTCTAACAATGAGTCAATAAAAAGAGTATACGTAAATTTATTTACATAGTGCATCTTATACTTTAGGAGTCCTTAAATTGATAATATCAGTATTTGATTCTGCGGAGCCTTATTAGCTTGTTGGAAAAGTCAGATGTTGTTTCTTGAGCTCCTCCCAATTCTGTTGGCTGACAGTTTCCAGTGTCTGAGTTTTCACTTAGGTTATATTCCCTTATAAACATGACTGAAGTTAGTGCTTATTTGAAAAAAAAATACTGAGAAAAATAAGGAACAGCTGATGATGATAGCAACTTTTGGGCATTTTCATGGAACATCTGCTTTCTTATTCCTGAATCTGAAGATATGTTAGAATTTGCAACCATTGTGTCCGAGGACCACATGCAGCCTCAGACACAAGCTGACCTCCAGGGTCAGCATCCTTCAGCTCCAGCACTGGACAGCTCCCCAGGCCCACTTTCTGAAGGTTTTGTTTTTGTTTCTTGTTTTGCATGCTGGACTATTTTTTTGTTTTAGAATTCCTGGAAACAATAGTCTGTTGAGTTGTTAAGTTGAAACAGTATGCTGGAACCCAGCTGGATAGCATAGAGGCTAAATCCTCACTTTGCATCCCCCGGAATCCATTAATGGGCACTGGTTCATGTCCTGGCTGCTCTATTTCTATCCAGCATCCTGCTTGTGGCCTGGGAAGACAGAGCAAGGAGGTATGAACCATGGGGATCACCTAAGCATCCCTCTGCTTCAACATCTTAAAATGCTGGGAATTTTGTAAAGTTGACAAAGATTGAAAATAAGCAGTTGAGCAGATGGTAATGAGAAATTCTGGTGACCTGCTGATGGTCTGGCTTCCTGGCATCCACAAGAGCCTGCAGTTGGGATCTTAAGGGGCATTGCCATCAGCCTGTGGTGGCGGCTGACGCTTAGCATCAACCAGGGATGCAGTTAGGGCTTCATGGCAAATGCGAAGACTGGCAGGGCCTGCCTCCCACTCTAAATTGCTTTTGTCACTCTAGTTGATGAATGTCTGTGACACTGGGCATAGCAGTTCCATCAAGACACCTTCATCGGATTGCATTCTTCATTGGCTCGGGAATTGCAATATCTTGAGTCAGAAATCTTGGTCCCTTGCTTTGAGTGAGTTGTTTATTATTTTATGATTTTGTACAGAACTGTGGGGATTGAAATATACAACAAATAGTCAAGGAAGTTAGGCTTCCTTGGTCTCATATATTCTTGTCCCTAAAGTTTATACACTTGGCATCAGAGAGCACAGGTTTGGGTTCCAGCTCCACTTGGGACCTGCCTGGCTGAGGTGAGGAACATACATTTTCTCCAATCCAGAATGTCTGCTTTCTTCATTAAAAATGAAAAAGTCCCCAGATCCCCCAAGATGTACCAGGAGAGGTCAAAGCTGGTTCTGCCTGCGTTTGATCCATGACCATGGAGCACTGTTGTGTCAACCTTGCTGTTCTGTAGGTTTAGAGCAGGAACAGTGTTGCCAAGGAGAGTTGTTTATATGACTGAACACCCTGTTAATGAAAGTACAGATTCCAAAATAGGGCATTAAGATGGACTGAGGTCTGAAGTGATTTCCTGGATAACTTCCACTGATTGAATATCTGTGAGATCACCACCACTTTGTGTGTCATTGCAAGTCACTTCCTTTGCTTGCCTCCAGTCCTTCACCCAAAGCAGGATGATGTTGTACTAGATTCATTTCTATTTTCTTTGGCATCTTGTGATTTTGTGTTGAACTGCTGAGTAACCTGCAGTGGCTATCATGTGGGGACCTATCTACCCCCCATGCCAGGCTTTGTGGTAGGCACTGGCCAGCCGCCATGCAGTGCTCAGAGACAGAGGTGATTTGTCATTAACTGGTCTTTGGTAGCTGATCCCATCTTGTCTTCAAAGCCAGTGATCCGTTGTCCACTTCTGCTTTCTCTGCCTTTGGCTAAGCTCCATAGGCTCCTTTCCTCTAGGCATCACTGTACAAGGTTTTGTCTGCTGAGCAAACCTTCCCACCCTTTGGACTTTATGACCTCTTCCCGGGAACCCATGCTAGGTGTTGACTCTGCTGTGGGTGTGCTCACTGGGGACTGACCCAGGAGAGGGGCGGTCGGTGCCAGAGCATCTTCCTGCACTTGCTGATTCATTAACAGTGTCAGACGATCTGCCGTGTGAATGATGAGAAATGTATCATGTGTTCTTTTGAAGGAATCATGTTCTCTAAGATTAACCTTGTGCTGACAGCCTGTTTATCTCCCAGAGTGCCACCTCCATCGCTCTGCCAGTAGCCCAGAGCAAACCCCAGAGAAGAAGGTATGTTGGATGAAGGACACTAAGATTCCTCCTGCCCATGTAATTTAAATAAAACAATTATTTTCCCTTTCTGGACAGAAAGCCAAGACCAAGCTGGGTAGGTGCTACAGAATCGCAGGAGAATGGGCCCCCAGTGGCACATATGGGTGACTTTATGGAATTTTTGAGCTGCTCCTGTCAGTTGAACCAACCTGGGCTGCAGACAAGGGCTTCCTACTTGGACAGGCCCTGCAGCCATGTGGCATCTGCCCAGGCCTGGCTTCCCATCAGCTCTGTGACCCAGCACTTCTGAACCTCCTGGAGCCTTGGTTTCCACCTGCGGTCCAGGAGCAGGGTTGACCAGGGTGCTCTCCTGAGGCGTGCAGAGGACTTGTGTGGCTCTGTGGTCAGGCAGGCTGAGCCTCCAGGTCTGGCTGTCCCATGGATTTGTGCCATGAGAATGGCTGCTCCACCCCAGTGTCACCCTCATGCTGATTGTTGACCTGGCAGACCTGAGGTAGGATAAACACCAACGCACTGGCTGTATTTTGCTTTACTCATCTTCCTTCTTGCCTACCTTCATTTAAAAGGAGATATATTCGCTTGGGCACTAAACATGAATTCTTCAGGAATTAATAGATTTGTTCTGAATCTGGTAGGACAGATTTTCTTCTTGTGGCTCCATTAATTTTGTGGGAGAAGAAAATCGTTCCAAATCCAGGGCCTGAGGGGGAAGATCTGGTTTCTATGGAAATGGTGGTTTCAGCTCTTAGATCCCTATCTCGTGGGACAAATCATTGGGGTAGTAACTGCCCATTTTTATTGCTTCCTATTTTATAGGATCTGTACTAAGTACTGTGTCTACATGGGCTCACAAGCACTCTGAGAATGTTCTATTTCCCCCTTTTTTACATATGAAGGAACTAAGATATATGCAGAATTAAATGTCGTGCCAAGGTCACCGAGGGAGCAGGTAGCCCAGCAGAGGCTTGAACTGGAGTTTTTCTAACTCCAGGACCCAGACACTCACCACCACCCAGCAACTGGCAGAGAAACACCTCAGGGAGGCAGTCCTGGGTTCACGGGTGGGGAGGCCAGAGACGCTTGTCCTCCAGCTGGGTCCCAGCGCCACGGCAGGGAAGCTGTTGTGGGGAGTTTGCTGAGAGACCAGCCTTGGCTAGGGGAGGAGAGGCAGTAGCTTCAGCCTTTATTTCAGTGGTTTATGATCCAGTGACGGGGTTCCTTCCGTGGACAAAAGCCATCCTAATAGTGCCATTTATCATTATGACAAAGGTTAGGAGAGGGGAAACGCAAGCTGGAATGAAAGAATGGGATTCTGATGATTTTAGCAGTTGAAAGTGACATCACTCTATCGAGTGGCACGTTGGAAGCCAGCCTGAAATTGCTGTAAAATGCGTCCAGAGAGGGTTTTCCAGAGCAGCGATACCGTCTTCCGGCCAGGTTTGGAGGTGCGATTCACATGAAAGTGCTCATGGCGCCACCTGTGTGTCATCCAGGAAAAGGCTGTCCAGCTGCCCCAGGAGAGCCTGGACTGGGTGCTCCAGTGTGTACTGGGGGCAGAGAACCCCTGTGGCTGAGACTGATGCAGCCACACCCCACACGGTGTCTGAAGCACATGCACAATGAGTTCGTATTTACAAGACTGCGGGGTCTGCGGTGTTTTCCTCGGCCCGTCTGTTGTGTCAAACAGGATCTTAGGATCAAGTCTCCTGACCCCTGTCTGTGAGTTGGAACAAATGAGCATGCTGGGCAGGGATCCTTAGCAGCCCTCCTGCCTGGTCGATGAGCCCTTGATTGATTGATTGATTGAATTTAGCTTGTGTTCACAGAGGAACTTGGGGGAAAGACCCATGAGGGCCAGAGCATCTACTAACCGTTTGCCTCTTTTTTCTGACCTGTAGGCAAAAGAAGGGAAATGTGGCCCACAAACACTGGGCCGGACCCGCCAATCTGGTCAAATGCAAGCCCTGTCCCCTGGTGCAGCCGGCCATGGTCTGTGGCTCTGATGGACACTCCTATACTTCCAAGGTTGGTCCTCTTTGCTGTCTTTTGCCATCAAAAATACACTTGATCTATGTGTTCTGTTAAGACTGTGTGTCAAAGTGGGCCTAGCAGTGCCTCGGTGCGTGTCAGGACAGACACTGCTGCACTTCAGACAAGGAGAAAAGCTAGATCAAGATGTTGCAGTCCCTGTCCCCAGGCTGGCTGAGGGCACATGACCCTGAGTTAATCCAGGCAGGCTTCCTAGAGTGAGTGAGGTAGCCTGTTGTTTAAAATATGCCAGTTCCTGGCTCTGCTGGTGGGAAGAAAACTCAGAAGTGTCATCAGGCACACCCAGAATGCAGCCAGAGCCTGTACAGGCCCCCATTCAGACACAACCCCTCTCTCTGAAGGAACTCAGGCTCTCTCATAGTCAAATGGGAGCAAAGGGAGTGTGGCACAAGTCACTTTGACTCTAACAAATGAAGAGAGCCCGGGTGCATGGACGAGGGGCAGGGTAGGTGGGTCTTGTCATCCCTATGGTGTAAATTTTTTTTTTTACTTGCCATTTTTTAAATTTTACTCTTTTACTTGCTACATCCATGCTGAGATTCTCAATGATTCCTAACCAAGCACCACATCCCCACCCCTATCCCCGAGTCTGACCGCTTCTGAACCCAAGTCATCTATAGAAAGGACCTTTCCATAGTAAGCTCAGCAGTGCTCTGCTGAACTCTGGGAACTATAGAAAACTTGGGCAGGGGCAATGAGGAACAGGGTGGATACATCCCTCCCCTTCTGGTAGTGGGACAGAAATCAAGGGAGGGCATCCTTTCACGTTTCAATAAAGTACTAGAAGCATGATGCTTTAGGGGGAGTGATGAGAGAAGGTCTTTATGCCGAGAATAGAGGCATAGAATGCTCCAGAAAGAGGAAGTAGTATAGGCCAGGGTGCCATGATATGTTTGAGGAGCTTAAAATGCGTTGATGTGGCTCTGACAGCGAAGGGACGTAGGATGAGGGGCTGGAAGGTTGTGAAGAACAGAGAGGCCATATCTCATCTACTTGGAAGAGGAGGCTCCAAGCTTGAGGACACAGTCATGTTAACTGTGAAATCCTAACACCCACCACCCCTATCAGCAGGTACACAGAGCCATGTGTCAGGGATGAGAGACAGACCCGTGAGGCCACCAGCTGAGAAGAAGTAAGGAGGTTCCAATCTGTACCACCAGTCCTGGGAGTGAGGTGGAGAGAGCTGCGTGGCTGTAACCAAGTTGACCCTGTCATGGGCTGAGCTGCTTAGCTGAACATCCATCCCGTTTGTGCTGACTGTAGTATTCCCGCCAGCTCTGGACTGAGCTGTTAGAGCTCTGGACCAAGCCTGAGACCGAGAATCCCTGAGAAGGTCATGGGGACCAGGGCTGTTTGGACAAGTGCATCCAAATGCTAGCAGCCCTGTCTGCTAGCCTCTGCCCCACTTGTACAAGATGCTTAACCGTGCTTCCCCACCCTTACTGGAGTGGCAGAGCAGTGGTGACCCCTCTAATGTGGTGCTTTAGAACTCTTGATTTCCAGGGAAAGCATTTCTCTGGAAATGTTTGCCGTACAAGAGAGGAACATTGACTTCTCGCCCATGGGGAAGTTGTCCTCTGACAGTGCTGCTTCAGGAGCTGCTTTAAGAGAAGGGCTTGGGATCTGGGGGACCCCTCTGTCGTGACTCTTGATGATTCAGAAGACCAGTGACTCACTTTGTTTCTCGGCAGAGTCCTAAAGAACCTGTTGTGCCATTTGTGGCCTTGGGTCTCTGTGTCCACCCAGCTGACTCTATTTCCCATATTTGTTAAACAACGTTTCTGGAAGCACAAGATACCCAACACCCATCAGAAATTGTAGGGTTCTTCTCCCTTTTCTCCATATGGGCCAGTGGTCCAAGGCCAGCAGCAGAGTTTCACAGCCACTTTCTGTTGCCTGGCCACCTGTGACCTACTCACTTGTGTTTGAAGTTAAAACAAAGGAGAGTTGCAAGAGGGATGGCACGGCAGTGGACAATGGTGTGGGTGTTGGGTTCTGTGTTGGGTTCCCACTCTGCTGTCTGCAGTGAATTTCTACGGGAACCTGTGTACTGTCCACTTCTGTAGCAAACTGAGTGCCACTCAATGGGAAGCAGGATGTTGGTGGCGCCAGAAACCCCTTAGGGCTAAGCCTCGAGGGCGTTCACGAGGTTCCTTTCCAAGGGAGTGCTTACGTGTCCTTGAGTTGACAACTGGTGTGTTTCGGACATTGTCCTCAATCCAGGACTGCTTGTCTGTTGAGCTCCAGAAGGATGTTTCGGACCCATGGACAATGCCAGTTGATGTAGAAATTAGTAACAGCTCATGAGTTAACTGATGATAAAATGGTTTTCTATCCCACTGAGTTATAGTTTTTTTATTTTTCCTTGATCATTAGTGTAAGAAAACCAAGGACAGGTGAGCCCTTATGCATGTATAACCAGAAGCTATTTCTTACCGTTATGTGAAACCTGTAAAAATTAGTTTCAATAAAAATACTTTGCAGGCCCTGTGTCATTACAGGGAAACCAGTACTTCATGTCAAGTGATCACAGTTGTCCAGGTGAATAGTTGACCTCTTCAGGGCTGTGTGAAGTGTCTCAAGTGCAGAAGAAGGAGCCTGAAGGCCAGATGCTGCTGCTGTCCTCAGGCCTCACCAAGCAGGCTCTCGGGCCGCAGCAGTCACAGGCTGCTGGAATTGGAGATTGCGTGTAAGAGTGTGTGTCTTCAGCAGAACTCCATTTTTCCAGTACCAGGGATGTCACCTGGAGCTGTGTGACTCCCCAAGGAGCAAAGAGAATGTGTGCAAGATGTGAAGACTCTTGGGATGGAGGGGTGGGGCTGTTTTGAGTCCATTAAAGCTTGTTCAGTCTCTATAAAGCATAGCCCATGAAAGACAGGAACAAAGGACACCACAGAGCCTTGACCAATTGAAGGCCAACACTGCAGCTGATCTGAGAGCTAACTAGCCTAGATCCTTGACATGGCTTCCAGGCTCCGAGAATTGTGCTGTGTAGCTCCTGTTCATCTCTTCTGCATGGCTTGTTCTCCCAGCCAGGAAATGGCGGTAGTGCAGAAATCCAGTGAGTATTTGTTGAGTTTGGTGCGTTGTGTTAAATACAAGGGATATGGCAAAGGCAAAGCTCCACATCCCAGGCCCCTTTGAGTAGAACAGGGATTTAGGTAGGAATCTGGACACTGCGCCAACTGCAGAAGCGCAGAGCTGAGTGGCTTCACAGGCTGGAGAAGGAAGCAGTCTCAGCTTGCATGTGGGGAGAAGACAGGTCAACCAGCTACAGAATTGACACTAGAAGCATAGTCAGTGCTCATGTTTCCTGGGCCACGGTGTGGACCTCATAGGAGCTTGCCCATCTGGACAGTATTAGGGACCCAGTTAAAGAGGTATAATTTGGAATCTGCTTACCCTTGGCCAGGTGGTTGGTTGGGCTGGCTGGGAGGGAGGGTGAGCACACAGCACACTGGAGCCGACCCTGACATCGGTGCCGCTGGCTAGAACCTGGCCAGCTTGGGCTTCCTCCAGCTCAGCATCTTGAGGTTTCTCAATCCAGAGAGAGAGCGAGCTGCTTAAAAAAGGGGGAGCCGTCTGGAATGACACTGTGGTCCTGGGGGTTCAGCAAACCTCTGTCCCAGAGCCTGGCCTGAATGCCCTTGGGAGAGCCAGCCCCATTCTCTGATATCAGGCTGATTCTGGTAATTGGCCAACAAGCAGGCGAATAGTGTGTCTTTTGTCCCTCTCCTTCCCTCCAAACATCTTCCTTAATCGCTGTTAAACAATTAGCAAATGGCTCATTTATGTCTAGAAGCAGAAGAGAGATGCCAATTTAAGCAGCACAGTGGAAAAAAATGTTTCTCTTCAGTGTGTGTTGGGAGGGAGGGGCTGAGCATGCCTGTGCTTTTTTGTTGCTTCATATTTGACTATTTAAGCATTTTTTTAAAGGCATCTATTTTATTTTTATTGGAAGTCAGATATACAGAGGGGAGGAGAGACAGAGAGGAAGATCTTCCATCCAATGATTCACTTCCCAAGTGACCACAACAGCCAGAGCTGTGCTGATCTGAAGCCAGGAGCTAAGAGCCCCTCTTCCAGGTCTCCCACATTGGTGCAGGGTCCCAAGGCTTTGGGCTGTTCTTGACTGCTTTTCCAGACCACGAGCAGGGAGTTGGATGGAAAGCAGGGCCTCTGGGATTAGAACCTGTGGCCATATGGGATCCCGGTGTGTGCAAGGTGAGGACCGTAGTCACTAGGCCACCGTGCTGGGCCCTTCAGAAGGATCTTTAAGAGCTTTCAGCGGTTGTTCCCAACAAAGGTCACATTGTGAGTTCTTGGCAGTGGACTCTCCATTGGCTGGCATTTCATTACAACAGGCTACTCTGTGGGTTGGGTCACTTGAGGGCATGGCTCCAGGAGGCCACGAGCAGCTTCTCTGTCTCCCCCCCCCCCCAGGCATTGTTGACCCTGTTCAGGATGTCAGACCTGGGGGGCCTTTGCTGCACTTGACTCTGAAGCCGAGTTGAGACCAGAGAGATTGTCGAGGTTATTCTGGGCACGAGGAGAGTTGTCTTTATGTGCAAATGGCTCCTTGGTGAGAACCATGCCTCAAATTCAGCAGAAATTGCCCTGGTTGGAAACTGCCCACCAGGGCTTGTGTTTGCACAACTTGGGCGCCAGTAGGTCAGAATGCAAGGCAGCTGTGATGGCAGCAAGACAGAGAGCAGCAGCGAAGGAGCCAGTGGGCTGTGGGGGAGTTTGGACAACTCCACACTGGTGTGCTGTCAGGCAGTGGGGGGAGCAGAGGGCCCCCCACTGAGAGACGACAGTGCAGGTCAGCAACCTGACAAGGCGGTGTGTCTGGGTTTTGATTGCCTGTTGCTTGGAAAAAGCCAACAGCAGAGTTTGTGTGACCTTGCCGAAGTACTGGATGGCGTGCAGCAGCTCTGAGGACTTGTACGGGAGACAGTTTGAGGACTGGGGGCAAA